TTATTTCTGAATTCTTTCTGCTAATTCTGCATTCGTCGAATGGCTAATTCTGAATTTTTGAAATTTCAGAAATTGATAAAAACCTTGATGCTAATTCTTGAATTCTTTCTGCTAATCTTGAAAATTTGATCAATGTAGAGTTCTATGAATTCCGCTGCCCCTTTATGGCATTTTCGAAGTGATCGCGAATTGTACATTGTTGAAAACATGCTGATCAATGTGCAGAAACCAATTCGGCAAAGTTGACTGAACTGATTACGTATTAATGGTGGTAATGTGCAGTTTTGCACATTGTGGTTACTAGATTTACAGCAACGGTGTGCAAGATCGAATTCGCCGAACTAAGCAAATTCTTTAACAAACAAAGCAAAAATTATATGCCAATTTGGAAGGCGAAATAATCTACCTGCAAGCTATTAAAATGTGGACAACGCTTGCACTCTGCACTTTGCAGTTAATTCGTGTGATATTCGTGTCTTACGCTCTATGTCGAAGAATCCACAATTGTTTGGGGTTTATATTATGGGAAAGAGTTCATGTGCAAAATGTGGGAGTTCGCAAGCGCTTAGAAAAAGCAAATCAAAGTCGAGAAAACGTTCCGCGAGTTGTATAAATCTGGAAATTCCTTGCACTGTGCACATCGCATTAAGGTGGTATAAAATTGTGAGAATTCGCAGGAGAACAGGCATGATAATTTTTCATGTATATATCTTGCAGTCATGGACTAGGCATGATAAATATCTAAAGTCGAAATAGTTTCCCTCTAGCGCGAATCATCAAATTTGTTGGACTTTGCAGATTGCAGTTACTTCGTTTACAAATGGTGACAATTGTTATACGCTATTTTATTTTGAAGGAGAAATTATTTGAATTTTTTTTCATCGAGTTTGACAGTAGACCCGTATCAAATAAGGAATATCTTGGCAAATATTAGCAAATGTCTATAGAGTGTTCTGATATATCGTGTTCTTCTTTTTGTACGGTAAAGATGTCGTCATTATTCCTCATCGTCAAACGAACAGAATGAAAAAAAGAAACAGAACGGAAAAAGTTTCGTTCTATTGCGTGGGGTTTCTTGTTCGATGTAAAGATTAAACATGTGAATATCTGTGATCTGTATTAGAAGTGAAACTGCATATCTGAAATATATGTGATATTTTAGGGATATATCAAGATTGAACATGTGTATATCTATGTGGAGTATATGGATAACTGTAGTTCTGATTCATAACTTTTTAAATGCAGTTAGGCAGTTTTTTGTTGAAATCAAATAATCTTTTTTTATTGTTAGCTTCGTGAGATTTACCTCTATTCAAACGCGTAAAGAAATCTGAAAGTATTTAGAAAATACTGCAAAAAAGTCGACAAAAGCAGGGATGTTGTTTTTTGTCCAAAGGACGCCAATACACATATACATCATCACTGGCCATAGCATACTCCCTTTGATAATTCAGAGGAAGAGAATCATATTCTTTAGACATCATTAAGATAAAACAACGTACACACCTGAGGTATATCATTTCGTTCAAAATTTCTTTGTGCCTCTGGTCATTCCCCACTACACAAATGTTGTCTTACAAAACTGACCATTTATTCGTGATATTTTTCTGTATATACCAAAGTGTATGCTTCATTTTCATGCTTACTCTTACACTGGTCGACGATCAGCTAGGTCTGAATAAACTAAGACGCATTATTAGCATTTGGTGCTGTAGTTTTTATATCTACTCATTCTCATATGCCCATCCCCCACGCCGCTCGGTCCCGAACTCGTTGCTGGTTCGGAACAGCCTCGCTTATGCTATATGATAATATAACACTCATTTGAAGTCATAATCAACAAGGTTGCTTTAAACTCGTAACGAGTTCAAAAGAGCTTCCCAGTCTTCAAAAAAGACGGTGTTATGTTTCGTCTCGTAAAGAGTTTAAAGACTGCCACCCGTGTTTTAGATAGTGAAACCGAAATATTTCAAATATGCTAGCTGCAGAATTTTCAAATTCCGATTATTCCCGTCGTTTATTGACCGCAGTCGATGCGATGCGACAAATATTACATACAGAACCAATTAAACTTCCAGAAATAGTTGTTGTTGGCGATCAGTCTGTGGTAAGTCTTCATTGCGGTCTTTTCGATTTACATGTAAAAGATGACATACTCTATTGATTATTGTAGGGAAAATCGTCAGTTTTGGAAGCGCTGTCTGGTGTCCAATTACCTCGTGCCAGTAATATTTGTACTCGTTGTTCATTGGAATTGCGCTTAAAACGATTACAAGACACGAGTAAAGAAGAATTTGCAACAATTGAATGCTTGGCTAACAAAGAAATAAAAACAATACCAAATTTTAATGATATTCAAGAAGAAGTGATAGAAATGACAAAAAAGCTAGCTCGTGACGGCTTTGACGTTAGTTCAAAACCAATCTATTTGACTGTTCACAAACATAATATTCTAGATTTGATATTATTAGACTTGCCAGGCACGTGCCTGGTTTTCGCTAAAGATTAGACATTACGCTTCTACGTCCTATTTCTTTAGGCATTACACGAAATCCACTGCCTGATCAGTCCGAAAATATTCACGATCAAAAATAGTTCATTTGATAACAAAGTACATCGAACCGGAAACAGCAATTGTTTTACATGTTATTCCGGCCTCCAAAGATTTCACACGATCAGAATCAAGGAAATTATCAAAAGCGTACGATCCAAATGGTGAACGGCAATTGATTGCTGTTAGCAAAATTGATCAATGTGATGGAGGTAAAATAGGTTACTGACAACGAATTCAATTCAACTTATATATGACATAGCAGACTCTTTATTATTTCCGGTAATTTTAATTTTTCAGCTATTGGAGAGAAATTACAAGGTATTGGATCGGGTGCAATGGCATTACGACTAGGGTGTGTTGCCGTTTTGAATCGAAATCTTAAAGAGCTTAAAGAAGATCTTAGCTTCGATGAAATGAAAAACCGCGAAAAAATATTCTTCAAAACAAAAGCCCTATTTGATGATATACCAGAGGATTTTAAAGGTAGTGAACAACTGGTGAAGAAATTAGTTAATATACAACACCAACGGATTCGATTAATATTTCCGAAAATAATGGAAGAAATAAAACAAAAAATCAAACAGAAAAAAGCTGAACTGAAACTATTACCAACAGCTTTAACATCGGAAATTGCTTGTTGGGCGAAATATAATGAACTAATTAGCTTAGATCGCGATAGTATACATTCAAAAGTGAATGGAAAATATGATTATCAGACAACAATGAACGGTAGTGATGACTCAACACAAACAACATTGCTCGATGAACGTATTGCTTATCATGTGAAAAAATTTCTTCATGTTTTTCAAACTTTTTTACAGAAAAATCTTCACAATATGTCATGAAATTGACCGAAGAATCGTCGGGTATTGAGTTGGACAATTTTATTTCATTTGAATTATTTGTACGTTTGTACGATGGCGAACACCATATAATTGATACAGAATTTCCGTATCTATCGAATGAGATTATTTTCAATATGGGTTATGTTTGACGAAATCTTGAAAGAAACGCAAAATTTTGTTGTTTGTCGATCATTGTGAAAATGCTTTAAAGTATTTTTGATCTCCTGTTTAGTCATGTCACATGGTAAAAATCTCTAAAACAGTCTAATTGATCCAGAATTTCCTTGTCTATCGAATAAGACTATTTTCGATATGTGTTCTGTTCGACGAAATCTTGAAAGAAACTCAGAATCTTGTTATTTATCGATCATTGTGAAAATGCTTTAAAGTATTTTTGGTCTCCTGTTTAGTCTTGTCGCATGGTAAAAATCTCTAAAACAGTCTAATCGATGTAGTATTTCCTTGTCTGACCGCCTTGCTGCTTACCTGGCTGGCCGCCTTGCTGAGCACATTGCTGGCCACCCTGCGGGCCACCTTGCTGACCGCGTGGCGGAGCACCTTGCTGGCCACCTTGGTTTTGATTCTGACCGCCTTGTCGATATCCGTTTCTTTGACTTGGATTGTTTATTCATTAAATGAGATTTGATGTATTCTCTTTAAGTAATCAAGGATCGATATATAGGAATCTCTGTATAGTAGTACTAAAATTGAGCTAATGTCTTCCTAAGTCGTATGAGTAGGCTTGTTTGATTATTACTTTTAATTTCTTTTTCTATACACTAGTTTCCTTCTTGTATGATAGATATAATGGAAAAATGTTTTGTTTTAGACGTATTGATACGCCTCGCTTTTGATTCTCTTGGAATTTTCTTGTTAACCGAAGAAGTGCTTGCATAACGTGTTACACATAATCGGTCATAAAACACTTGCTTATAGCTTTTTTGAAGATACCAGAGTACTTTCACTTGTAGTACATTCCATCGTTTTTTCGTTTATTTACAGAATGAGATACCAGCTTCTAAAAAATTCCAAGGGAATCAAAAGCGAGGCATATCAACACGTCTAAAACAAAACATTTTTCCATTATA